TCCCCTCATTTTAACACAAAGAAACTAAAGCCTATAGTTACTTTGCTAGCTTCTGAGGCTAGATTTGAACCTAGGTCTTTGGAGGATTAAAAATTCTAAGCCCAGTATCTACTACACTGTACTTGTTGACTGATTGATTGATTGATTGATTGATCTTTTACTTCTCTGTATTTACATAGAGCAGCCTCAATGTCTGAAATGCACTCCTTCATCTAAATTTTCAAAATCCTTTCTTTAATTAATTAAAGACTCCATTCTGGTGATGTCAGTTCTATGAAGCCTTACTTGGTCTCCCTCCACAAATTTTCCCAAGAGCAATTTTTTCTTACTTGTTTTTGCCCTCAGTCACATTTTACCTTGCATTACATTTATATATTATAAATAAAATGTTATATTTCACCAATTACATTGTGAAGTGTTTGAGGACAGAAATCATGTTGTTCTTTATCTCTGTCTAGCCAGGGTCTAGCATAACGTCTTGCCATAATAAGTTCTTAATAAATGGTCAAGGAATTCTTCAATTGAATTACAATTCAGGTAGAAAATTGAACTTATTACCCAAAGAAGAACTACTGATTAAAAATATCAATCTATTCCAAAAAGCTTTTTTATAAATCAGGAGGATAGATCCATAACAGAATCCTTATTAGAGGAAATTAGTATGTTTAAGGACACATCTCTAATTACATTTAATGATTACTTTGACATGAGTGGAAAGACAATTGTGACTTTTCCTTGATTCCACAATAAGAAACAAATTATCAGGCTAGAGGAAATACCTGTCTGACCTACTAAGATAAATCCTACATTGTCATGGTGTCTTCAGAGGTGATATCAGTGGAACTACTTCTCCAATACAAATGCAGATTTGCAATCACAAGAGGCAGAAGAGTCCCTATGTTGCCCTTTTCTTTTGGAGATGCTAATAAGCAATGAAATATCCCCAAATCTAGCAATAGAGTAAGTGAGATGAGGAAATGAAGGTACTGGCTCTCCATTCCCTTATCAGTTTGCATTACACAGGTTTGAGGTAGCAGAGTTAGAGATCTATTTCAATTTGGCATCTTTTGACAATCCACATTGGACCGATTAAGCACCAATTACATTCTAATACTAAAACCATGGTCATAAAATGTAAATAATTAGTTTTATTCCATTAAATATAAGGAATGGGAGACAAAAAAAGCAGGAAGCTAAACTGAGCTCAAGGTCAGCATACATCTGCATGACTTTCTATAGTGCAAATATAAAATAATGGCTCCTTGGCATTCCACCCAAGTCCCAAAGCAGATCCACTGGCAATTAAAGAACATATGTGCATAACTAAGATTCTTAATGCATTACTCATTTTATATTATTGCCATTGTCTTTCTAGTTGACCAGATGAAATGTCTTTTAATTAGGGCATTAAAGGTACTATCCAGAGTCCAAAAAAAAAAAAAAAAACCTTTGAATTCACACTGAAGCTGCATCTAGACATGCAAAATAAAATTGAGGATTTAAGTAATTATCTGGGTAATTAATTCCTTCTCTCCTTTTCTTCACACCCTTTCCAATTATCTGGTTATTACAGGTAAAAGATTAGGGAGGGGTTTGTTTTTGCTTGAATTATCTAAATAACCAACTCAATTCTCCAGGTCATTGATCCCACACTGAGGTCACCTTGCTGTTCTGTCCTAGAATGAATAAAACACAAAAATCTCCAAGACTCATACAAGTAGAGACCTGAATGGATTTCCTTTATTCTTATTAAAATAAATTGTAGTAGAAGTCATTCCCTCCAGAGAAATTACACCTCCTTAAACTTTAATTTTTCTTGACAGCTCTGTGTTACAGACTTCATTAAGAGGAACGAAAACCAAAGCTGTTACCTCCAAAGTCTTTTGTGGAATGATGTACCCTATAAATTTTCACTTTCAAAACTAAGGTTATACGTCTGAAAATAAGTTGTTATAATTAAAAATAATAATGAACCCATTCGGTGCAGTTGAGAAAATATATTCATTTGCTGTACGTCGCCACCTTTTTGCTGAGGGTTGCTAATGATAACTTATGAAAGGATTTTCTGAGTTTTCTTCTTTTTACAGCTAAAAGAGGCCACTGGGAGCCTTCAAGAGGATGAAGAGGGCACCATTATGAAGAGTGGAGGACACTGTCCATTTCAAAACCACATAATAGGTACCAATTAATGTTTTCCTACCACTTTCACTACTGTGTTATTTGCCTGTGCAGAAGTAGTCTCTGCTTTGGGACTCAATGCATTCCTGGAGTCGCAGAGTCCATGTCTTACTGCAGCAATTTCTAAGCAACCCAGCCAGCACAGGCACTTTTACTTCGTTTGCTTAGACAGCACTGGAGACCTTGGAGGAAAAAAGTAAAGGTGGTAAGATGTCAAGGTCTTCATTAGGTCTTTATTAGGCAGCGGGGAATGAACAAAGCAGCAGAATATCAAGTAGAGGAAAGTGTGAGCTCCCAATAAAAAAGCAAGCAGAATGTATATGCTTCTCATCTAATATCTCCAATCATGTGCACTTGGCAGATTTCACCCAAGTAAAACTAACCTTTCGCTATTTACGCTACATCAACATTTCATATTTGGACCCCAAGAAGAATCTATCTAAAAGCAACCTTGTTAAACATATAGGCTAGAAATTCATTATTTGATCTTCCCGAACCAAAATTATGATATATTTTGATATTAAAAAAAACACAGACTGAGAGGCAGTATGGTATGGTAGACAGATGGTCCCACTTAAAGACAGAAATACCTGGATTCAAGTCTTGCCTTTGACACATACTGACTTCGTGCCCCTAAGCAAGTCATATAACCTTTCATAGCCCCAGGCAACTTTCTATGATGATCAAAGACAGATAAGTTGTGACTCTGCATCAGCAAATATAGTTTTTATGCTAGGAGTTTCTTCTACTAAGTAAATCACAAGTCTTGACCAAAAGTAAATAAAGCCCAGTGGGTTAAAGCCATATTCCTCACCTTCTCCCCCACTCTCAGGGAAAAAAAAAAAGGAAATTTGGAGATAGGCTCTTATTGGTTTTGAAAATTCTCCAGCCCACTCTCTTCTCTCTGGTAAAAGCCTCATTATAAAAATCCCCATTTCTTAAATGAATTTGGCTTATCAGCTACTTCTTTTAATTGTGCAAAGCAAATGGAGTGTAGAAACTATAGTTCCTCAAGACAAAAGGCCTTTGCTGATACTTTGAGAATGTCTAGTAATGGGTGGTAACCAGGAGATTGAAGAGCTGTCAGCAGCTGTGATCCTAATAGGGAGATACACGAGATAATAACTTAATAGTGCCTGACGATCTTGGGGAAAATGCAGAATATGTTGCTCTTAGAACTCAAAAGAATTTAGAATCTGGGCATTTGGGGTTATTTTGATTTTACAAAGGATGCCAGTGTATGATTGAATCCTTTCCTACAGGCACATTAGAGATAATCTTGACTACCCTATTGCAGTGGCGTGACAGCTCTCACAGCTTTCTTGTTTCTAGATTTAATCAGCATCTGTTGCCCCTGTCCTTTCCTGAGAATATCTTTGTCTGCCAGCTCTCAGCATCCACTACTGCTGTCAGTTCCATGTTGGTATACTTTGCTATCGACTTCCTGGTATACACAGCAGTCATCTGAAAACTATAATTTATAGTTTATCAGAGTGAATTGTTGTATCCCCACACTTAATGAGACTGGCACACCATTATTATTCTCTTCATTTGTAATTGGGGATGCAAAAGTCTTAACAAAATAGAACTGAATGAGCATAGTCTGAATGAGATTATTATTCCAAAAAGACACCCTTTATTATAGTTGTCAATGCAAAATGCTTAAATTGGTATCAGTTCTGCATAGTTAGCTAATGTGCAAGTTAAATATTATTTAACAACCTTCAAACTTGTCGCTATGGAAAGCACTGAAGAGTTGCCATTTTTCTGAAATTAGGTGCTGTTGGACCTGTAAAATTAGTAACATGCATGCATGTTTGTTAGGAGCCGATCTTTTTAAAGGACTACAATGACTGAAGTAGATTTAAATAGATTGCTGATTCTGGATTAGAGCAACAAAAGTTCATCTGGACTAGATTTTCACTAGGGTGAACATTTTTGTCTTCAAAGAGATAAAGCTACTTTGAGCTGACAAGAACATTGTCATTTAGTCTAACTGACTGCTCCCAAGGCAAGGATCCAACTGAGTCAGCTAACTTAAATTTATTTTTTAATCTTTTTTCCCCCTCAGAACCTATGGAAACTTCATATCTAATTGCAATGACAGTAAATATTTTCTCAGGGAAAATGAATGATAGCCCACCACACCAAAATATTTAATTACCAGAAAACAATGAGACTTCCTAATAACCATTGCCCATCTATCATGAGGTTTCCAAGTACAGGGAAACAATAAATTTAAATGTTGTGGCTAACAACCAAAAGCTGACTTATATCTGCAACAGGCAAGAGCAATTAACCAATTCATGAATCAGAGATCTGTTTGCATTTTTATTGTGAAGGGTGAGCTTGTCTTAGATTGGGCGAAACAGCATGGCTTAATTACAAAGTCATTATATAGAAGAGCTGGCTGATCAGCATACCTGATGTGAAATATAAGAAGTGTGAAATGAAAACATACATGTAAATATTCAAACATATTTTCTTTTAGTCATAACAATTTTAATCAGTATAGGCCCTCACACTTATGAAAAAGGATTAATCTAGATAGTGTAATATGTGATACATTTGCTCACTATCCTGTGGTGTTGAACTATGACAGATCATATTTATCAAATACAGGGTGTCCCAGAAGTCTCAGTGAAATTTTAAGCTATTAAACATATTAAAGATTAAAATTACTACACTGAGACTTTTGGGACATGCTGAATATTGTGCATGTATCATCCATTGGCTCACTCCCCGACTCCACCATAGCCATTGACAGTTGGGTCTCTGAAGCAGCCAGTGCTGCTATTTTCAGGGTTCTAGGGGTAACCCTTAAATGGCCATACTTCTAACACAACCTCCACTGGTGTACTTCCCCTTAGCAATCATCCTATTAGTTCTTCAGCAAAAGCATTTACTCAACTAGTTTAGCAAAAGTAATCATTACAAAGCATCACATCCTAAACCAGAAGTGCACTCTCGCACCAATACATCACAGGGAGGGACGGTGATACGATGCTAGTGAGGCACTCGTGTAGGTAATATGCATAGGCAACACAGCTCACCACTCTGGAATCTTACAGCCTCAGTGTTCTTTTTCATTTTCCAATGGGTCCTCCCAAGATTCATTATAGGCTGTGGTATCAGCGATGGATGAGTCCCTCCACTGGCCTACTGGACTTTTTTCTAGTGAGGTGAAATATATGGGCTATATGGGATAGACTGCTTCTGGGTTGGATCAAGCACATCACGTGACTACTGCTGCTGCTGGGCTGGACCAGACAGGTTGTTGTGCTTGGCTATTTCCAGGCTTGTTCCGACAGCTGACTCAGCCACAGAAGACTGCTACCAGACTGAGTCGTGGCAGATCACTTGGTCACTGAGAAGCTGCTGCTGGATTCTCATGGTGCAGTATTTCTGGTGGATAGGTTAATCTACTGCTTTTTATGGGCTTACTCTTTGATAGACAGCTATAATCCTTTACCACCTTCAGCCACTGGCTCAGCTGGATGGTACTGCCATCTCTTTAGCTGGAATACTGGGGTACTCTCTTCAGCTAGAGTGCTATGTTGCTCTTTCAGCTAAAGCAAGGGTTCTGAAACTGAGATCTATGAATGTTAAAAAAAAAAATTTTGATGACTGCATTTCAATGTACTTGGTATCCTTTTTAATTCCATGTGTATGATTTAAGGATCTAAAAACATTATTATGAGAAGGGGTCCCTAGGTCTCACCAGACTTCCAAAGGGGTCCCTGACACAAGATTAAGAACCCCTGAGGTAGGACAATGAACCTTAACCTAGACTGGCAGAAGCCTCTGGTCTTAGATTTCCTCAGAGGTGAGGTTCTGAGTTTCGTCACTTCTTGGCAAGAGGAGTCTATGCTTAGCTTCTCTAGTTCAACAGTTCTGCCTGGTTCAAAGCCAGCTCCCTCAGAAAGATATTCCACATTGACTTAACGGTAATCAGTCTCAATTCATTCAGTTACACTTTGAAGATTCCTCTTGGGGTCTAATGCAAAAGAACAGCTAGAGACAAAGTTAGGAATACAAGCTGTACCCTCATTGTCTTTGATGTCCTCTTCATATTTGATTGAGCTATTCAAACTTCAGATACTAAGTTATAAAATGCTTATTTCATATCTAAAGTTCTTCTCAATGGGGCAGACTATTACATATACTTGTGTAAACTGATGAACAGAGACATAAGAAAGATTTCCTGGAAGAAAAGTCAGCCAATAGAAAACATCAAGAATCCTGGGCAAGTGGGGCAGCTAGGTGGCAGAGCACCAGCCCTGAAGTCAGGAGGACCTGAGTTCAAATCCAGCCTCAGACCAAAAACTTGACACTTACTAGCTGTGTGACCCTGGGCAAGTCACTTAACCCCAATTGCCTAAAAGAAAAATAAAATTAAAAAAAGAATCCTGGGCAAGTCACTTAACACCAATTGGCTCCCAATAAATAAATAATGAATAAATATTTCAACAAAAAGGTAAAAAGGAAATAAATTGAATATGAAATAACAAATTTAGGGAAGTTGAAGAAAAACTCAATGAGTTGAATGGAAATAATGCTAAGAAAATTCCTATGATATCTGGTCCCTAGTTACAATTGCCAAAACTAATTGGTGACTTTTGTATCCTTTCTCCCCTGGAAAAGAATAAAAGAAGAGGCTGCTCCATTGACTAATCAGCAAATGCTCAAGCACCCCATGGATTAGTATAACACCTATAGTATTCATTTTCCTGTGTTCTTTTCTGTATCACCTTCAGAAATTACCACACACAGAGAAGGCATCATTATGGCATCATAGATTTAATAATAGTACTGACCTTAGAGACCATTTAGCCCAACACTTTCATTTTACAAATGAGGCCAAATGACTTGCTCAGGATCAAACAGCTAAAAATTGTCTGCCGAGGGATGTGATCCTAGGTCTTCTTGATACCAAGTTCAGCACCTCTATCTATTACATCACATTGTCACTCAATGTACTAACATATGATCAAATCCTGGAAACCAATGTGGATCCCAAATAAAACATTATAAGTTTCAACACAAGAATTAGGTCATTTTAGGATTACCTTCAGTTTCTCCTACATTTGGTGACCTCCCCACTCCCAGGCATCTGGCACATTTAGATTTCCCAGTGGCCCTAAGAATTCTCCACTGTGCTATTCTGTTAGGATCCCAGGCAATGGCTCATACTGTAGACCTAGGATATGTTGGGTATATGCTTAACCTTGGGGGATGACTTGATTTCTTCTTCCCCTCCCAGATTAAAATTCCCTAGTTTTAGATTCTGTATTATGAGTTATTTCATTCTCTTCTCTATCAACCTCTACAGTATATGGTAATTTGTTAACCTAATGAGCTAATTCATGCTAATATGACAGTAGATTAATTTGTTGTTTCTTTTCCTACATCATATGTTTGTGTTTTAGCAGCAGTACCCTTGAAATAATACCTTACCTCAAAGGAATTTTGCTATTGGTGAGATTTTTTTTTTTTTTTTTTTTGCTTTAGTGGAAAATCACTAAAGATGATATTGGATAGAGGGGCAGGCAAGGTCTTTTAAATATCCATCAAATTTCACCATGTAGGTATCTGGCTCTTCTGGATGAGTCCACCATTGCTTAGTACCATGAACATTGATTATAGGAAACAGGGTAATGATGGAGAATGTTCTTTCTGTGGCAACATCCTGACTTTGAGATATGCCATGCCTTCAGGCAGGCATCAGCAGGAACCCCACAAATTGAAAGGCTGTCATATGGAAGAAAAAAATCTATTTGTTCTGGTTGACCCCAGAGGGCAGAACCTGGAGCAATAGGTAGAAGTTGCAAGGAGGCAAATGTAGGCTCAATGTCATTGAAAACTTCATAACAATTAGAGCTATTCAAAAGGGAAATCAGTTTTCTTAGGCATTAGTGGGTTCCCTCTCACTGGGCATCTCCATTCTGGACTAGCTGGCTACTGAGGTCCCTTCCAACTGTGAAATTCAGTGATTCCATGAACAGAATGGAATACAAAATAGAAGAAAAGTTAAGACTGCTGCAGGGAATGAAGGTAGAATTCTATGCCTTTATAGCATGTAGAGCTCCTGAAAAACTCACACTAATCAATTATCAAGCTTTCATTGAGTTCTAATTTTGCACTCCTCCCACATATGCACTAATAGGTCCACAACAGAAGAATGAAACATTTGAATTTGCATCCAAATGTTTTTCATTCATTCATTCATTCATTCATTCATTCATTCATTCATTTACATACCCAACTTGTTTTGAAGGCAACCACATGGTGTAGCAGATCCCTTATAGAAAGGACTAGGTTTTGAATAAATCTAGAATGTGGAGTTTGATGATAAGGACAAGGCAAGAACTTAATATATTTTTAAATCATGTGCTTTATTTGGATGTGGATTGGACTGGAATGATCACATACTAGAAACTGATGTGAGAAGAAGGAAACAAGGCATTATTTATCCACCATCAAAATCCTATAGGAATATGGTCAGTTCTCCCATTATCCACCTGTGATTTACATACTTAGGATCAACCACAATAATGGATTATTTATTTTTATCTCATATTGGCTTTCCCCATCCACCTAGCACATATTTAGGCTATTTCTCTCCACTGTCAATGGATATATATTAAATTAAGGAAATACAAACTCATTTTCATTTTAATCTACAAAAAACATCAGAAAGTAAATCTTCTGGGGAACAAATATTAAAATGAACTCCAAAGTCAAATATAAATTGTTTTTATTATTCCCTTCTTTAAACCTCTGCTAAACTCCAGTGGTAGAGATAATCAAGAATTTATCGTATAGGAAAATCACTTGTGTTTTGAGCAAATTGTCATCTCCGTCTTCGTGATATTATTAGCAACAAAAAATGCATAAATTTGAAGAAATCCTCCATGGAACAAATGTTATACTCTTTGGTTAAAATGTATCTCATATTTTCCTACTCCTAAAATTAAAATATATATTCAAGTCAGAAGGACTGATATACTGTATCTGTCAATCAATTAAAGCTCTTGATAATCATCTGTCTTATTAGAGGAACATTACTGATTTTCCCTAGTGAGGATGGATTTGGAAAGAAGTTTGAGATTTTTATCTTTTTGTAAATAGAATGGTAATCTAATTTTCTTTTCACTTAAATTTATTCCAAAAGGTTAAGTAGACTTTCAGAACTCCAAAAATGGAAGATTTAGTTAAATGTCATATTTTGAATACTGTGCCTACATACTAAAGTTTAAGTATACAAGGGAAGAAATATCAACAATCAAAACAAAATGTGGGTTGCAAAGTAAAAATTTTGATAAACAGTTTGGATAAGGTTACACATTGACTGCTTATTGACACCAAACTTGGATTTGCTAATGTGATAATCTCTTTGAATGAGAAGCCAAGAGATTTAAAATAATTCAAGTTCTATCAATAAATCCTAGGATGACTTGATTTCAAATGTTTAATCAAAAACAGCTGCAGAGTGGTATGGTACAAACAAACTTCCCTTTGTTTGATCAGACTTCCAACTATTTGTTTCCTGCTGGTCCTAGACAGTTACTTTTAACACAAAATCAGTATAAAATGGTTTAACGTAAAGTTGTCCCTGGGACAATTTGAGAGGAAATGAAATCATCTGTTTCTTGATTAGGAACAATCCCTCCCTCCTAATTTTAACAGCCTTCTTGTTCAATCTTTGTTTCCATAATCTGTCACCTTTGCATATGGTTCCCTAAATTCCTCAATGTGGTGTTAGAAATTGGACTTGGTAAAGATTCCTTCTTTAACTGATATTTTAATTCCAAGTACTAATAGATCAGTTTCTTCATTTCACCATCTATTCTTCATGTGAGGACTACATTTTTTGAATTATAGATTTCAAGAGGGCAATATATAGCTCAGTCACTCTGAAAAGCATCCTCAGACTTGGCGATTGCTGAAGAAGTACTCATTAGGAGGAAATCATTCAACCCTGATTCATTCACCTAATGACTTAGACAAAGAGGCACTTACCAGCATCTTTTGAGGATAATATTAATTCTTTGATTCATCCAATAATTATTTTTTTTAACTCTTACTGTGTGCTGTTCAACACCGTACCAGTTACTGAAAAGATACAATTGGATTGGAAGACATAGACACTTCCCTTCAGGCGC